CAGAGACATCCAAGACACGAGCTGAATATACATTAGGAAACAAATGAATAAAAAAGGGCATAAGAGGTGGCAAGCGAAAATATGTGGAAGACCTGGTAACTGCAGCAGAAAAATCTGTAAGAGAAGGAAATGTGAGAGGACTATTTGAAACAACTAGGAGGCTATCAGAGAAATGTAGTAGACCGGAGCGATCGGTCGAGAATAGAAAAGGTAAAACAATCACCGAGATTCGAAAGCGATGGAAAAGGTGGTAGAGCACTCTGAAGAGCTGTTGAATAGACCAGCGCTGCTGAAACCACCGAACATCAAAACAGATCACAAAGACCTTCCTATAGATTTCGAAGTACAACACGACGAGCTCCGACTACGTCATACCTGATGGTCCGAACATTGTGCCAAATAGGACAACAGGCTTCCTTAGCTAGGACTCTAGAATCTTACACCATCGATGTATGCTGCGTCTCCGAAACGCGCATACAAGATCCGAATAGTGTCATTCATTTGACCGCACCTAATCAAAATAAAGATTCATCTCGATACACGCTTCGTGTATCTGGAAGCCCTGATGCTGCTTCCCGTGGCCTCGCTGGAGTAGGTATAGCATTAAGTCGTAGGGCAGAACTAGCTCTTTTAGACTGGAGTCCAGTAAACAGTCGTCTATGCGCTGTCCGACTAAACGGTTCAGTAAGGACTCGGAAAGATAGGGAAACTCGTCGTTGCCTCTTCGTCGTCTCTGCCTACTCTCCCACTGACTGCAGCTCAGACGATATAAAAGATGAGTTCTACAGGAAACTTTCTGACCTTCTCCGAGAAGCTAGGCGTTCTGATGTAGTAATAGTAGCAGGTGACTTCAATACTCAAGTAGGTAAACTAAGTGAAAGGGAAAGACACCTGGGTGGATCTTATGGTGTCATGGCGAAAGAACAGATAATGGCGACATCTTTTGACCTGACGACCCCCGAATTCGTCACAACGTTGGACCCAATTAGATCACATCGCTATCAGCCACCGATGGAGGGGCTCGATAGAAGACTGTCGCTCATTCTGGGGCACATGTTTAGATTCAGATCATGCTCTAGTGCGGGCACGTATTTGTCTGCGTCTTACTGGTCGTAGGAAAGACACTGCAGGGAAGCCTCTAAGGGTTCTACTTAATGATAGGCCAGCTAAGAATATATTTCAGGAACAACTAGAAAAACAGTTAGGCAGCCACGTAAGTTGTGCCTACCCCGAGACAGCGTGGAATGACATCCGAAGAGCTGTGGAAACAGCAGTGATATCCGCTAGTAAGGTAAACCATAACGTTAGGGAGAAACAATGGATCTCGGCAGCATCTACCGCACTGATAGATGCTCGAAAACTCATCCCAACTGGCTCTAAAAATAACGAAGAGCGGAGTCAACTTAAGCGCAGGCTTATAAGAAGCCTACGTAATGATCGTGAACAGTGGTGGGTAGCGAAAGCAAGAGAGATGGAAAAGGCAGCGGCAATAGGTAACAGTAGGCAGCTATTCAGACTCGTTAAAGAAACCGGTATTAGGAACCCGAATATCAGTGAAACCATCTCAGATAAAGATGGGCATATTATTCATTCTCAATCCAGGAGATTGGATCGATGGGCAGAACACTTTAGGGATCAGTTCAACTGGCCTTCAGCCACACTTCAATTACCCACGATCCCCAGTCGTCCTGAATGTCAAATTGATGCAAGTCCTCCAACCCTCTGCGAGGTTGAAAAAGCTATAGGAAATCTGAAGCGAGGGAGAGCAGCAGGCCCTGACAGGTTGACCCCTGAGATTTTTAAGGATGGTGGTCCAGTACTAGCAGAGAGACTGACTGAGGTCTTAGGTAGAATCTGGAAACTGGACGTAATTCCATCCGACTGGTCCTAATCACTGATTGTGCCAGTCTATAAGAAAGGACAAAAGTCCTCCTGTGACAATCACAGAGGGATCAGTTTGACTAATATAGTGTCTAAAATATTAGCTTCAATAATACTAGGTCGCCTAACCAAAGCTCATGAAGAGCAGACTAGAGAAAACCAGGCTGGTTTTCGACCTGGACGCGGTTGCATAGACCAGATATTCACTCTACGTCAGGTCGTAGAACATAGACATACATTCAGACGTCCCACAATAGTAGTATTTCTTGACCTTAAGGCGGCATTTGACTCGGTTGATCGTGAGGTTCTATGGCAGTGTTTGTCACTGAAGGAGTACCAAAGAAGTACATTAACCTCATAAAGGCTCTCTACTCGAACACAACTGGTCGAGATTGAGCCTATGGCGAACTGTCATCAGAACTGATTACCTCAAGTGGCGTTCGTCAGGGCTGTCCACTCTCCTCATTCTTGTTTAACTTTGTCGTTGACATACTTTTAGAGATAGCACTTTCATCAGCTAAACCTCCAGGAACTGAACTATTACCGGGAAGCTCACTTGTTGACTTAGAATACGCCGACGACATCGTTTTACTTGGTGAGGACGCTGACAAAATGCAGAGTCTTCTGACCACTGTAAGCAACTATGTAGGCATGTTCGGAATGCGACTCTCTCCCTCGAAGTGCGAAATGTTACTTCAGGATTGGGTTGCAGCGACACCTGAACTAATGATAGGGAGTGAAGTAGTTGAGCGTGTTGACCACTTCACTTATCTTGGGAGTCTCATCAGCCCTTGTGGTCTGGTATGTGACGAAATCTCAGCACGGATACAGAAGGCTCGTCTAGCTTTTGCCAACTTGCGTCATTTATGGCGTAGGCGAGATATCCGTCTAGCAACCAAAGGACGGGTTTACTGTGCAGCAGTTCGCTCCGTCCTACTTTATGGCAGTGAAACATGGCCAATAAGAGTAGAGGATATTCATAGGCTACTAGTGTTCGATCATAGGTGTCTTCGAAGCATTGCTCGTATATCCTGGGACCACCGGGTAAGTAATGCAGTTGTTAGGAAACGAGTACTAGGTAGGGATGGCAAATCGATTGATGAAGTAGTGAAACTTCATCAGTTGAGATGGCTGGGACATGTGTTACGTATGCCCAACCACCGACTGCCCCGACGTGCAATGTTTCATGGTGTAGGAGTAGGTTGGAAGAAAGCTAGGGGTGGCCAGACCAAAACGTGGCACAAATCAATGAAGTCGCTGACAAGTGTACTGGGCCATGTTGGTAGGTGTAGACTACCAGGTTGGGATTCGCGAGATGACAGCAACCGATGGTTAGAGACCTTGAATGACATGGCTCAAAATCGTTTGCAATGGCGAAGGTGCATCCACTCTTTGTGTTCTACCAAATTCTAATCTTCTGAATTCCTCATGTCTTTATATTTTTCTCTTTCCAAATTTATTTCACTGTACTATACTCCTTCAATAATTTCTTCAAACCCTAATCTTTTGGATTTCTGATTATATTCCTACTACTTCTACCACTATGGGATTTGAATCGACAACTGCATCTCTGTGCTAATGTGGTATGGCAACTCGAACTGATGTACGTACGTACGAAGTTCTACGTTGTGACTGACTGACTGACATCAGACGTTAATATTAGTGTTTTATTAAGAATAGAACAATGGTGATGAATCATTTTCCAAATATAGAAAATCAGAACCTTTTAATTTAAAACTACCTTAACTAATTATGCAACGTTATCACGAAAGCTTAGGATTACCAGATGAATGATTATCCCATCATACATAAATACAAAAACTACAATATTATGGTTTATCCTGAAAATATCATAAGCTTTGGTCTGGAATATACGCATGTAAAAAGTATTCCGATGAATATTTAAGCTGAATCAGATGTTTTCCAGAAATCACATACATGTAAGTTTGTTTGAAAAATACGATTTGCAAAATAAGTCGCATGGTTATTAAATTTATAACGCTTAAAATTTTATGTAGTGATAAGTTCAGCAGTCTGGTTTTCGGAGAATCCATTTAACCCATCTCTCATAAAGCGTGTTATGCCCCGATAAGGATAATGAATGGTAACTTTGGGATTTATTTATGAACCCATACTGTGCATACATTTTTATTGCATAATTGTTAACTAACTAGGCTATTCATATTCATGTCCCTCTTATTATAGGCTTTATTTTGACCTATGAACTATTATTATATGACTTACCGTTCTTGAGTTATACCCAGTCTATTAATTACTATCTCCCTTATTCACAGCCACTTTTGGATGGATCTTGTACAAATGTTATTTTCTATTTCTATGGTACGATGTGGTCTGATTGAATGTTATATAAACTCAGAATGTTTGGAATGATTGATTCACACCGCAGAGGCTGAGATTGGTGTCTGGACTTAACTGGCTGGGCTAGGCAGGAAACAGGATCGACAAGTACTCTAGACTACTCGTACGGGTTTCGTATGTCATTGGTCCGATCGATAAATTACTGCACTCTAATTGGCGGTATTACCACGTTATACATTAACAGGGCATCCAGGCGGTCACAAGTTATAACCGAATGTTTATTACTACCTGAAAAAAATAATTGTCTTGAAATAATACTCGGTTATTCACGTGATCAAAATCGGCGCTCTAAAAAAGTGACAAGTTAATTAAATTTTTATGGACAGTTTGAAGAATACTTCGCTTAACTGAAAAGATCAGTGTTTTCACTGTTTTATTCAGATCAATTTTAACAAAAATGAAGGTAGTTTATTGATTCTAATAAAGTTCTGAAGTCTTCTGAAGGAGAGGTTTGGGAAAAGTAGAATTTAACGTTAAAATGATGTGTGACAATGATCTTTTAGCTGAAAAATTCAACCGTCAACAATTGGGTCGCATGTACAAGCATGATTATATCTACATCGTTGCAAATAGACAGGTAGTGTGACTAATATTAACACAAAAAAGTATGGTTTAAGATTGGGTACATGAACTTTTACTTGGTTCCCGTGACTTGTTTACTATCAACAGTTCCGACAACAGATATAAAAGTGAATCCAACGGGTGGTTGCGATTACGTCCGTCATGCAAACTGATATGAATTATAAAAGAAAATTATAGTGTAAATAAACATTGTAGTAAAATAAGAAGACCAATGGCAAGTTTACTTTGTTCTTGAACTCTCCATTGAAGGCAAATGTGTTTTCGGGCTTTCCTGTAGGAACTTTGTAGTACTTAAACCAGTCTCGTGTAGCCTACAAGAGAAACAGAAAAATGTGGGCTTAACCAATTACCGCGGAAAACAAGTGATAAATGGCGAAGATCATGCTACTAAAATATTAAAAAATGGTCCAACTGACCAATAAACAGACTATCCTTATGGGCTAAGATAACACAAACAATCATGAATAAAATTTATATAGCACGGCAGGCTATGATATTCAGAGTCAAAAACATTCATTAAATCAACCTTTCAGATAACATTCGATTTTCTACTTATTATGACAGTACTTGGAGTGTGAAACTATTCATGTTTGCGGCCAACTCATCATGAATTATTTACAGAAAAAAACTACATGACAACTAACCTTCAGAAGTCCCGGCATATGAGTATCCACATCATGAATGTCTTTTACAGAATAAAATTTTAGGTAAATTTGTACTAACCATTTAGTTTATCAGCCATTGGATCGTCTGGATTTATAACTATAACTTTCCAGTCAGTTTCACCTGCAAATAATAAAGTTAGGTCATTAAGAGGTGTTAACATTAAGATAAATTAATGGTGGCAACTACATACTTAAGGAAAGTTAGAGATTTGTTTCAGGGTGGCGATAATTTCATAGATGTGACTGTATTAGTTATAAAAAGCAATACCTCAATTGTCTATAGACTACATTTAAATATACTCAAGTCGCAAATCTTTAACAAGCTTATCTTTCTTCTAAATAGAACTGCACCGAAGCACGATGAAGTGCGAGTAAACACTGCTGTTTTTGTGGATTCATAGCTTTCTGCTCCCAAATGCCCTGATACGACCGGGGGTGTGGAGAGTCAGTTTTCCCTCTCAAAATGCTCTTACATGGCCACGCGTATACAGCCTCTGACAGAGAAGTCCTACTCACTGCCTTCTAGCGGCATCGCTGTCGTTTACGAAATTGAGAGGACGAAAAGCGAATGTTCGGAGCTTTAACTAGGTTGGGTGGACACGGAAAGTCCATCTAGGGGAGTTGGAAAACCCTGTTTCAAACCAGTGGTGCACATGGGCTCCAGTATCCTGAAGGAACAAATGGCGAATGAACCAATTGTTGGTCACCGGCTATCATGGAATTGCAATGGGATTACGATGCTCTACTGCCTTGTGGATCAGACCTTTAGGTCAAAGGCTCCGAGTGTGACCCCCCTAAGAAAACCACCTGCTTTGGTCTGGGCACTCGGGCAGTACTATAGGACACACACATAAATCAAATGACTTGTGCTGCGCACATGTATTCGGTGCCCCTTTGTACCAATATTTATTTGTTCAAATAAATAAATAAGCTTTCTACTCAACTTGACAAACGTAGATGGAAGCATTGTTGGAATCTGACCACACTTGTACTTCATTTTCAGATCCGCCGTTATTACTACGTCTAAACGTCAGTTTGAAAATTGTCGCTTAAGCTTCAAACAGGTACAATGCTACACTAATGTTACACATGTTAGTTTAGGTCACATAAATTACTTCAAATAAGTGACCTAAATTAACATTCCAGGACTCAAATAAATCGAATGACGAAGTGTGATGCATATAAATTTGGTGACTCCTTGTAACAATGTTTATTGAAATAAATGGGAAAAACCATTACATATTTGGATATTTCTGTAAGCGTAATTATTATTCGAGCAGTGTGCTTTTATCAGCGAAATATCATGCGGTTTAATTTAATGTTAGAAGCTTTAATGGTAGTTTTTAATGTAGTTTTAGAAGACCAGAATATTTATTTTTTATACCAGGGTTGTTAAGCGAAAGATTTGAAAACAGTAAGAAAAAATAGTACCAGTAAAGGAGGAGGAGAAGCTCATGCAGTACCAGTGCGAAAATAATCTCTCTGTGCTGAAACTTACTTACACGGTTTAAGAACTTAAGTCTTTATAAATAATAAAAGGAAACATTTAGTGATGCAAGTCAAGGGGAACGATGATAAACTAACCTTCATCTATCATTGCCAATATGCCTAATACTTTGACAGGTATTATTGAACCGGAAGGCCATACTTTCGAACCTATTTCACACACATCAATAGGATCGTTATCCCCTTTAGCCTTAGTATTTTCATCTACATGGTTTGGATCTTCCCATGTTTGAGGTAGGGCACCATAATTCCAGATATAACCTTTATGTGGAAATACATTATTTACATAGCGCAGTTTATTATTTTTGACATCTTGTTTGATAGGATTCATAAGTTCTTCTTTGCAAATTTCCATTTTTGCATTTGTCCAGCGAGGTATCTCAACTATCATATTGTAATAGTTATTTGGGATTCGCGAGATGATAGCAACCGATGGTTAGAGACCTTGAATGACATGGCTCAAAATCGTTTGCAATGGCGAAGGTGCATCCACTCTTTGTGTTCTACCAACTTCTAAACTTCTGAATTCCTCATGTCTTTATATTTTTCTCTTTCCAAATTTATTTCACTGTATTATTCTCCTTCAATAACTTCTTCAAACCCTAATCTTTTGGATTTCTGATTATACTCCTACTGCTTCTACCACTATGGGATTTTAATCGACAACTGCATCTCTGTGCTAATGTGGTATGGCAACTCGAACTGATGTACGTACGTACGAAGTTCTACGTTGTGACTGACTGAATTACTCTATTATTTCACTCACTCTATAAGGTGAATATTTATTCTGCTAATTGATATATATATATATATATATATATATATATATATATATGGTAATTCTAGTGTTGAGATTTTTGTAATTATGGTTTTCCTCATTGATCAATGGATGTTTAATTTTTAAGAGCATGTTCAAACTGTCAACATTCCAAAGAGAATGTGAATTTGAATATTACATGGTTTTTACATAATGTCATTCGATCGAAGCTTTAATTGATCATATATATTTACCAAGTAAATAGAACAGATAATATGATCTAACTGTTTACATGATGTTACATCAATTTTCTGGACGATCAATTTACTAGGTTGGCTGATGTAACAAAACGCCGCATTCTATTGGTTTATACACTGTCTTTTACTATTTTATTAATCCTTGAGAAAATTTCGAAGGGATGCTTTGTTACGTGATACTTTCTATGAATTACTATTCAGTGTAAAGCAATTGATTTCCCACGCGAATCCATAATCATGTTAACTTCGTAAAACAGGGTAAAATACATTTAAAAAAACCTTGAGTAAGAATAGTGTATGAGGTTCTTTGTGCTGTGGGTTACTTATATCCACATAAGTAATATATAACGATGGTATAGCGTTGAATGTATTTCAGAAGAAGATCGATAAGGAAAGAACGGGGACGAGACGCAATCGGTATGAAAATGCATGAACAATAATAATCAAAGACAATAAATTGATATTTGCAGAAGGATCGGTCAAGATTGAGACAGTTGAGTAATAGTTTGCAAATTAACTATTTACCATATGGTTCTCACATATCATGGAAATATTCTGTAATTTTGTGCCTAATTACATTCGTATGTACCCGCTTGTGTTCTTGTTCACTACGTTGTAGCGATTACTCAGTTTTCTTTTACATTTTAGTCTGACGAACTAAATATATGATAAGAATCAGTCACGACTTGGAAACTATCCACAAAATAGTACTTGCTATACTATGAGATTGAACCTAGTGTCATCAAGTCTCGTGAGAATGGCGCGGTACCTCTGGACTTTTCATTCAGTGGTCCACAGTTACAATGGAATGATTTACGTAAAATTTTATTACCCCTATCAATCAGACCTGAGACAGAGGAATCAAAGGTTAGATATTTATAGTTTTGTTATGACTATAGGACCCATAATGATTACAGCTGGCATCGAATTTGGTTGCAGAAGACTGACGGTTTTAATATAATCCAATCACATTCGCCATATTAGGTAATAAATGTATGGATGAATAATTAATTTTCGCTTGAGATGTCTTCAATTCCTTATAGTGGTCTTAAGAAGTCTAATTATAGGGTTTAGAGAGATCTTTGCTTTGCTTTTCGACCCCGAATGTTTCATTAACTCAATCATCTATAAGAGTAAATATATAGGGCCATGTCATAAACTGATCACCTAATTATTTTTTCCTCTCGAACTTGGTGGAAAAAAACTGAGAAGTAATCAATTTATGATATGACATCGTGGTATAAAAAGCTCTACAGATCTGTTGTCTGTCAGTCAATAGGCACTCTAGTTTAAGTCATGGAGAAGATGCGACTCAGTGATTTGAGATGTTATAAGGCATGGCTCGGAGCAGGCCTCAATGACGGTTTATGGATGTGAGTATTCGTCTAACTGAAAGAATCATTCCTGGTTGTATTTTATATATAAACTGTCTCTCCTGTTATATACCGCTCTCTTCCATTTATTTTAGTTATACTCCCTCACATCTCGTTGTTTTCTTATGATTCTATTTTCTGATTTGTGTGATGTGTATTTATTTTGGGGCCCAGCTATACCAGTACCTATGTATTTTAAATAAATAAATACATCTAAGATCTGGTATTCTGAGAAGTTTGTTAACATTGAATCCCTGGTTTGAGTCTGTAAAATCGCATTATTTACCTCTTAATGTCACAAGTGAGAACAATACCTCACCATTAAACTACTTTTACCTCAGTGGACTAAACCTTAGTCTTTGACATTGAGAAAAGCACAAGTACTGGCTAGTATTAAAAATGAGAATGCTTTCCAAGTCTCGTTTTAAAGTGGTAGACAGTTCGTAGTGATATATTCGTTAGAAAATATCATTATACGTAATAGGGATAAAACTTATAATCCACCATTTAAAGTGGAATTGACTATATTACAGAATTATAATACGTCTCTGGTTTTCAGTAGAAACTGGTTGTTGTCAACGCTTAATATTTTTACTGCTAAACTTTTCAAAACTACTCATCTATATAGCTTATTTAAACAAATATTTACTGTTGATTTATAAAATCACGTTAACGCCTACTTTTGCATACAAGTCACTTAAAAGCTTAGTCATAGGGAATTGACGTGAATGTAATGTGAGTCACTTCATTACCATTGATTGTGATTTCACTGTATCACATTCCTTTGAATATGGTTTCATGTGAATATTTTCATTATGTTTAAAATACATCTTTCATCAAAATAGTAATAGATTACATATTTTATGATTAAAATGTATCTTCTAATAAATCAAGAAGCCAATAGTAGTACATAAACGGAATTTCCAGACTACTGAGTCTTAAAAAAACATCTGTTTTGGGAATATTATCTCTGTAGCACATACTGAACAACCTGAATTTACATCGACTTCTTCAGGTTTTCTTAATATCAAGTTCACACTAGACATAAAGATGGGTAGTCCAGTAGTATTGGTAGTTCTCACACAACATAAATGAGAAATACAAAGCAGAATATTTGCCATCCACAATGAGTATCTGTTGTCCGAAATAAACGATATGGTTTACGGTGACCGCAACGAGAATACTTAATGTGACTTAAACTAGAATTCTTAATTACTTTATTAATTTTTAATAGCTAACAATCTTGAAGATTTCCATGAATTTCGATTGATGAGGAAAAACGTTAATTGAATTCAAAACATAGTTGGGTCCCATTGAGTCGAAAGAGAAACTTAATTCACTCTTTATCCTCTAGGATCAAGCGAATCTGTTCCAATGACACAATAGATGAGGAACTATTTCATCTTCGACAGACCCTCATCAAAAATGGTTATCCACCTAGGCTCGTGGATAGCAAGTAGACTTCATCAGGAAAAAGCTTCGACAGCACAGAAGGAACCTTTGTTTATGAATATGGAATTTAAAGGAGACAGCCGCTGAAATCCAGAATATATGTATTTCAAAATGGTTGAATAAAACATTCTACGCAGCTAAGCTTCGAATTGTTTTCTTTAGCCGGCCTACTATTCTGGGGTGTGTTAAGGATAAACTTTCGCTTCGGGCCACATCAATGTGTATCTATAAATTTACTTGCTCATGTGGGGCACTTTACATAGGCCGCACAAAGCGATCCCTTTCCAAACGCATCTCGAAACACTATCCGGCTTGGCTCTTGAAATGAGAATGTAAAAAGATTACTAGTTTGATACAGGAGCATTTAATTAACTGTGGACACATCGCTTCAAAAGACTCTTTTAAAGCAATCTACAAAGTCAAAGGAACCAGATCGAAGGGGGAGGTCGAATCAATATTTTATATACTGCTGAAGCATTGGTAATTTACGAACTCAAGCCTGAACTTTGCTTGCCAAAAAGATTTGTTCAACCTCCCACCCTTCCTTGACCCTAATTCCCTTAATGGGTATGTTTCTAGTTGTTGTTGTTTTCCTGCACTTTTATTTGGTTATTATCGATTTTTTGTTTTTTAAATTGTTGTTTTGCATTTTAAACTCTAATCAGTTATTATTATTATTACCTCATATAAGTTTTATATATAGTTGAAATCATGAGTCAATTGAAGCTAGACCACCATGGAAAACCTGGAAGCACTGGACGGCCGTTTCATACTGTGGGATTCCTCAACAGTGCGCATCCACAATAGGACGAAACGGCCGTCCAGTGCTTCCAGGTTTTCCATGGTGGTCTAGCTTCAATTGACTCATAATTTCAACTATATGTAAAAATTACTAAAAATCTCCACAAAACACCCCCTTGATTATTATTCAGCCTATTATTATGACCTTTGTCGCTTTTCTTCATAACTGTCAATTAAACTATTATTTGGCCCATATATTATTTTCTTCCTCACCCCTTGATTGGTACGTAAACTCATTTGTTACTTATTGTCGAATCCATTTATAATGCAATCTTTCCTAGCCTCCTGTAGTCATATATTTTCCCTATAACTATACATACGAATGTACAGCTTAAGTAAATGATTTCGTCGAAAAGAAAATTTTCTTTACTGAATTCTCTTTTTCTTATTCAATGACATTATGACTTATTTTAATTATTTCTAATTTCATTATTGAGAGTAAGAGATTACAACTAGATATGTGTAACCTAAATTATTAGGCTAAATTAAAATAGACTCTTGTTATTACGTTAAATTAATTCAAATTCCATAAAATAGATTCAACAATTAGTTAATTAACAGAAAGAAAGCAGTGAGGAGTTCTATACGTGAACACCTATTCGACTGTAATCATTCTACGGATCCACAGTCTGATTTTAATATTGTTTATATGATTCATTCAAAACGAAAATAGTATGAAATGATCAACACTAAAAATCATAATTTATTGAATCGATCAATTAGTACTTTTAACAAAATAAATACATGAAGATTATGTATTGGCTATTTTCACAATTTCATTAACTTGATTAGCCACAAAGATTATTAATCGTATATGGTTAAAATAAAATCATGAACTGAATTAATTTCCGAATGAATGATTTCTCAAGAATAAATAATAGAGATGAGTTTCGGTTGCAGAATTATTGGATTGTGTACACTATTAGTGTTCCAGCAGTAAAACATTTAATTATAAACTGTATGAATATACTTCGCCATCATATATCAGAAATTTAGCTTAGTCGTGTAAGTGTAAGAAATATTTAGATTATTTGATGTATATGCAATCAAGCTTACAACTAATAAACATATAACTGACCTGGACAGTATACAAATTGTAGATCGATCCCCTTTCAAAGTTAAACTTAATAATTAGTCTAAGTTTAAGATGTCTAAATATATTGATCACACTTGTCTAGTTTCTGGGTACCTGTTTAGACCCTACCCACCTTGGACATCCTTATCGATCACGATAATCACACACGAGTATATCACTTTAAAGCTTGCTGTTACTGATGCTTTTGTTGATAACTTTATATCAAACTTACAGTGGATTATGAAGACCTCCATATCCTAAGGAAAGTACGGAATACAGTGGACAGCTTGGATGCAACTAGACGATATGAACTTCGCAGATGACCTGGCCCTTCGATCCCATACACACCAACAAGCGCAGGTTAAGAGAACCAATGTAGCAGAAGTCTCTGCATCAGTAGGCCTCAACATACACAAGGGACAAAGCAAGATCCTCAAATACAACAGAGAATGTTAGCCCAATCACACATGATGGAGAAACTCTGGGAGGGGTGGGAACATGCACGTGCCTGCGTAACATCATCGATGAACAAGGAAGATCCGACGCAGATGAAAATGTAAAGATTGGCAAGCAAGGGCAGCATTCGTACAGTTGAAGAACATATTGAACTCAAAACAACTGTCACTCAGTAACAAAGTCAGAATCTTCAATACGAACACCAAAACAGTTCTACTGTACTGTTCGCTAACCGGAACCTCATAACAGCAGTAAATAAATGATTTTTGAAAGCGTCATGCTATTTTACTAACGATCTTATATTAAAAATAGGGTATCGAATAGTTAAAGATAATAAGTAGATGATCCATAGTAACAGAACGTAGAATAACATTTACTTATCATATTGTAGAATAACTCACTCACTTATTAATCAGATGCTCGAAGGCTTTCCCAACAGCATACTTCCGCAGTAGGATCAGTTCAATTTTATACGATATGACTTAAATAATATAAACAAATGTGCTCATATACAAAAATAACATCCGGTTTTCTTCCATGCACAAATGGTACGTTATTCTCTTTAGACAGATATCTACACTAGATACCCTCTCAGTGTCTATTCGACAGGGCGTCAGCATAGCTTGTATCAATGAAACATGACTGGCCTAACTAGAACGTGAGTATATACCCAAGCCAACAAACACAATAATAATAAGTATAGGAAAATATATAACTCATATCTGTCAGACTATTTGCTAGTCTGATTAACAAACAATCAATCATTGCTTTATATATATAGGGTTACATTTGGGTAGAGGAGTAACGGGGCCTCAACTAGCGTACGTAAGGGACCTGTCTCACATTGGGTTAAATGGTGTCACAGCTCGATATCATGCCACCCATCATACACGATGTTCATATGATAAAAGTACACAAAATTACCAGTAGCGAGAAAAATCCTACCCCAATATTCACTGAATTTATTTGCAATTTAGAAACGATATTCCGACCTTTTGTGTTAGTAATGTTAGTGGTTAAAACTCAGTTACTCCGATAGCAGCAGTAAACAATGTGATTAAATCTTTTCCTCTCTTAATTACGATCTCAATTCAATGAATTTATCTTGAAATATCTGTCATTTTCCTTACCGACCTGGTTTTAGAATTCCGATAACAAGGCGTAATAAAACCATTTATTCCAATATTTCTAAAATTATCACCTCAATTATTGAAGAATCTTCTCTCAGAGTTATTTTTTATCTTCAAATGGTGTTCTACCTCTTTTCTCCTAAACAGTTTATTGAATGACTCGTCTCTGAATTTCCTATTAGGTTAATAATCATTAAAATTGACAACAAATCCAATTTATTGGCATCAGTGTAGCTGAAGAGAACACAATAAATTTATAATACTGTCTGCAAACCTTGTCCTTCTAACTTTTAGTACTAGTGTTTTTTTCTAGTTGAATTCATGAGTCAATTGAAGCTAGATCACTATGGAAAACCTGGAAGCACCGGATGGCTGTTTCGTTCTATAGTGGGATTCCTCAGCAGTGCGTATCCGCGGTCCCGCCTCGCGATGTTCGAACCCAGGAGCTATCCGTCTCTTGCGTGCGTCTCTAGACCACTGAGCCGGCATCCAACGGTGCCAATATCTAACTTCAACCAATCCACTAAACTGAGCCATCGTCCAACATTGTCTTCAGTGACTTACTATCTCACAACGGCCGTCCAGTGCTTCCAGGTTTTCCATTGTGGTCTAGCTTCAATTGATTCATGAATTCCACTACAAAACTACTAAAATCTCCACAAAATTCCTTCTGATGCTAATGTTTTTGCACAAATCACAAATTTGCGGTTGCAACATTTACCATCAATTTACCTACATAGTGCTTTGAATCGATACAACCAGAAAAACCACGATATTTGATGATTGAACATTAGATTTTTTCAGGTAGTCCATAAAAACTAAGAAACACAAGAAAGATTCAGTTTCATTATGTGAAGAGTTGTTATAAAGATAATATATTTACAATTTAATTGGTATGTGAGCATCTTACTAATAAAATGAAACGCTATATGTGATTCTTAACACATAAATAATAAGAGACCGGTACTAAAAGTAATTTTTGATAGCAACGGAAAAGTTATCTACTTAAATACATACTAACATGTATATCTAAGTGTAGAAAATAAATATAAGGACTGTAAAAATGCTCGCTAAGATATTTATAGTACCCCATAGTTAAACATATTATGAAACCATGGGATACTGTAACGCAGGTTTTAGGAAAAAAATAAATCTAAAAGGAAGAAATTGTTCTTCACATATGTCGGGTGAAGGAGGTTAAGAAAACAGACAGACTACGGCAGACAAGGATATAACAAAATTAAGGATTACTAACAATCATATTTCAATGTCTAGACCATTTAAAAAGAATATAACAAGCGACTAGAGTAGAAGTTAGAGAGACGGTATTATGCAGTACTTTTCGTCTTCCATCATCTCGATGAACTAAAACGACTGGACGTAATGGAGGACTGTTTGAATTGGAATGATTCTCTGCAATGATAGCTCGAGCACGCTTTCCATTGCTTGCCCGACTTATTTCCAAAGAACAATTAGGGCTTTCACCGTTGCTCATTCCACTGCCTGAGGAATTATCCCCTGGATGTGAATTCGTCAAGGCATGATTACTACTTGTTACAAAGGAAGCTGTTCCAACGGGCAAAGATGCTAGAGATTGTGCCGCTTGATACTTACAGCATGGATCCCATTGCCAAAACAATGCATACAACCCTGCAGCAGAGGCACTAATCGCACTCAATGTAGTTGTAATAAACCGAATAACACTGGGTGTGATTGTCCGAACAGTGGGAACCCAACCAGTACCGAGGTCTAACGGTAAGTATATTTTAGAAAATGTGGAGTTCCACATCAAGCCAACACCGGCTGTAGTCACAGCAGCTATTCCTGTGAAAACGGTAAGTAGATTTAAAACAAAACATATTCAGTTACTGGTCATCAGTATTATATGTTAACAAAAGTCAATACAAATCTATTCTAAATATTCCTACAAATAAATCCGTTACGATCGGTCTTTTTCAAATCAATTAGCAAATCAACACTCATCACCAGTAAGTTAACAGATGATAGTCGTTTTTGGAAAATAAACCTTTTTATTTAGATTTATGAGAGTAGAGAACAAAATTACACACAAACATGTGTGTTTGATAAAAACATTAACAATATTCATTTACAATTTGGAATCTGTAAATAAATACAAATATTTATCTTTAAGTCATAGCTACTATATGACGAATGTAGATACCAACGGGGCACCCGAAACGAAGCATATGGAGAAAGGTTTAGACAGGCAGCTTGACAATTTGAAATCAAGCGCCGTTACAGATGAGCTATAACTTCGTAGGAATGTTAAGTTTATCTAACAAACGAGTATATGTTGTATCCCGAAAAGAATTGTGAATGGTAACTTTGAGGACCATTTATGGACCAATGTGATATGTATATTTCCTATTGTATAATTGTTAAGTAACTAAACTATTCGTATTCGTGTTCCTCTTATCATTAGCTTTATTTTGACCTTTGAACTATTATTATACGATTTTCGAGTTATCATCGGTTTACCGATTACTTTTCTCCCTATTCACAGCCACATTTGGCTAAATATTGTACAAATGTTATTTCCATTTTATGGTACGATGTGGTCTGTTTGGTTGGTATATAAACACAATATGTTTGTGAATAAGGATTCATACCACAGAAGCTATTATTGGTGTTTTGGACTTAACTGGCTGGGCTAGGCAGAAGCAGGACCGGTTAGCGCTCTAAACTGCTTGTACGGTTTCGTGTCACTGTTCCAATCGATAATTCGCTGCTCCCTGATTGGCGGTCTCATCAAGTCATACATTACCAAGGCATTCACTCGGCCACAAGATATAACAGTATATGTTACTGATCATTAAACTTTATTCATCTTTATGAGCCATTTACTAGTGTATGGGCATCCCTACCAAGTATTGCATTTGGTTGACAATGAAAAGTGAATACTTGACTATATGTTTCAATTGAATACTCAGAAGGCATCTGGAATAATGAGTGAATTAACGAAACTAGGTATAACAGTTAAAGCTGTCAGACAATAATATCTACATTTATTCTTTATCTTGTAAACCTTGAGTTCATATCATATTCTATATTTCACTCTTGATCACATTTATTCTTACTGAGTTAAATTTTTAATATTTAGACTCCCAATGAAGTTGTTTTTACCCTCCCATGCTACTCAAATTAGTGATTTCTTTTCTTTCTGTTTCTTTAGATACCAAGTTTGCAAATTATCTTAAAATGTTTTACTATCCCACGAATTCGTATTCCCTTTTAGAATTACATATTCTGCAGTTAATATTTCATATTACCATTCCAATTACCCTACTATTTGTCTTGATAATTTCATCCCGTTGTATTGATATGGTGTGAAAACTTTTAAAGAAGCACATGGGCCCCAACTTCGACGTTGCTCATGAATGACTGTGCGCTGATGTAAACTGTGGGAATTTAGACAATCAGATATTTTTACTAGACCGCACGTTGTTTATAGACAATTTGTAATACACTGTCACTCAGCCATACTTAACGGATTGCGGAACTTGGTGTTATTTTAACCTTACTAATATGAATGCAGCATTTTTGACTCTGCAACATCAACAAAATGTTCGAAACCACGATTCCGCTTAGCGAACAAACAAATCCTAGGCATATGATGTACTCAATACAGTCAGCTCTCATTCAGCAGTGAGTGGGAGGCATTCCCACGAAGTAATCTTGTACTATGTTGATAGAAGTTAGAGCAGTAGCTCTCGGGAGACATAACTCAAGAAGCAAGATGAAGTATTTTGTAGACAGTTATCGATAAATAAGGCACTTCATTATTTTGAGTGCAGTAAAAGACACAATGAAACAATAATCAATAGAGATGATGGTAAAATGCTAAAAATCTTACCTGATATAACAGCTGTTTTATGTAACCAGTTTCCCGTACGAATCCATCGCCACGTTACATCACCGAGAGATTCTGGTTCAATAATGACCATACATACTTTACGGCTTAGTACAAAATCCAATTCACGTTCAAAGTCTTCAGGAGAGTGGCTATGATTGTATACTGCACGAATGATGGCATACGTCTTCTTTCTATTGACATTAGCCTTAAAGAAAACCCAGACATTTTGTTTAATGAGGAGTCAGAACGATACAAACCTATGCCTTACAAAACCAGTCGATAAATATTTGAGTAAAAAATGACAATAGAACAATGACAAACTAACCACATAAATAATATATTTTTGAGAACACAGTGGTACAACAAACCTTTAGCATTAATATACAAAATATCTATCTGTGTTTGAGCATATATAAGTAAAATAGAACTAAGTACGTCATACTCTACAACAATGATATAAAATATAGATAAAAAGTGCAGACTTGATTTATTGCATTTAGGGTAGTTGATACCTTTTAATTGCTCATTTCTGGAGTTAGAGACTTGTAATTTGAGGTGTTGATTTTTTTAATGTTTTCAAATCATCACTACACGTTCAGTTTACATACGTGCAATAACAATACTTCATAAACAAGGTACGGCCGAGTGAGGAGAATCCAATCTCACTCTCGAAATGCTCTCACATGGCCACGCATATACAGTCACTATCATGAAAGTCCTGTTCACTGCCTTTTCGCGGCTGACGTGTTGCTTGCGGATTTGAGAGGACGAAGAGCGAATGTCTGGTGCTTTAACAGAGTTGGTGGATATCTATGACTCACATACGGGAGTCAGAAAACCCTGATTCCCAACCAATGGTGCATATGGGCTCAGTCAGCACATGGGCTCCAGGATCCTGAGGCAACAAATGGAGTATGAATCAATCGTTGGTCACCGGCTACCATGGGACCGCATCTCGTTACGATGCTCAACTGCCTTGTGGATCAGATCTTTAGGTCAAAGGCTCGGGGTGTGACCCCCTAAGAAAACCGCCTGCTTCGGTTTGGGCACCCGGGCAGTGTCACAGCCCTCACACAAATCAAATTAGATTTGTGTGGCGCATATGTATCTGGTGCCTCTTTGCACCAATATTTATGTGTTTAAATAAATAAATAAATGTGTCCAAATAAATAAAAACTTATCTCTATAAAGTAGTTACAATGAGAATGTCTGACCAGTGAATCTAAGTGGAAGCTATAGCCGAGACAAACGGTAGATGGATCCAAGAATGGAAAAATATTAAGAAGTTAGTGAATGGAACTTTAGCAACACCCTTTTGATAAGTGAGCACCTTTCCACTAGAAAATGATACGAAATGAGAAACCGATGGAAATTAAGAATTAGGGGGTGGAAGTTTGGGTCCGAATTGGAGTTCTTCAGCATCACACAAAATATCGAACCCAAAATTTTAGGGTTTTGCAGTGGGCATAACCCATCGGTTGTCGAGTAGCTAAACAACGGTTTATAATTTGAGACCAGGGACAAGTTAAGTCATTATTTCGATAATTGTACACATTAGTCTGTCAAAACGTGGCACAGCCTGCGTGACCCAAAACTACATTATTTCTAAATAACATTACTGGGAAACTGACTTCTATTATCAGAATTTAGTCGAAATAAATAAGGGTGTTGACAAGAATTTCAACACGGTCGCAAAACGATCGAGTGAATTCAACAAAATAACGAGACCTAAGGTAATAAAGACAAAGGATTTGACCTCTGTACTTGTAATTTTCATCTGAAACGATAGGGTGACCAAACATTTTATAGTCTTTTCTAAGTCAAAAGAAGTTTTAGGTATGGCAATTTCAAAATCAAAGTTACACAACCAAAGTTCAACGTATCTTAGCGGATTGGTTTTTAATCCGAGATAGTGGTAAACCTCACTGCTGATGAACTTTGGTTGGACACTTGTGCATGTCTTCAAGACACTTCTGATGCTGGTCGGTAAGTCCGGAACAAGAACTCGAAAGTTATTCAGAATCCTATCAGCATCCCTGATGCTCAGACAGGCTGTTGTCATTGAATTTATCAATATCTTGTTGATCTACTGTTTACGATTCACGGACTTCTGAGAGCACGAAAAATGACGTTATGATATCATATAAGAAATTTATTGACGTATTCACTTCATACACGTACCATTATCATCCAGAAGCCTTTCATCGGGAAACCTAGTGGAAGGTTACATTAGAAGGAATATTATTACAATTAATTTCTCTGTTAACTGCCGTCAATTCTACATATATCACTGTCAAATTATGTGTACATACGTTGAGTATTTAGGTGATAGGATTAACCGAAAAAATGGTGTCGATTCGACCCTACTATGACCGAGAAAAACAAGTATGTTTTTTTATTCGTCATAGGATGCGAGGTGACTCCATATAAGAATCCCGTACCTCAAATAACAACTTGTGCGCTACCAAGTCTCATCTTTCTGGTCCTCTTACAACTGATCATACTCTGGGCTATAACCTAAGAAGTTTATCGGGTAGCCGACTGGGACACTCTACCTCGTAGTTACACTATCATCACTGAATATAAGTAAAGAAAGAACAGCTTCAATGCCCACCACAACATACCATGACTTTTCGTAGACATGGAAACTAAATTGACCGCTCGACAATTAAGTCCTCAGTAAGAAGGATAGGAAGTCTATCCGCCTATTCTAATCCTTGAAGTTAGTAACACTTTGGAGGCCCAATCTCGTTTTGAATGAATCAAAAGAAGGTGCTGGTATTAGGTGTTATGGTAAAGAATTCCAGTAGTCTTCAGTTTTCAGTAATAAGGATAGGAGGTCTAGTGACCTATTTTAATCCTTGCAGTTTGTTACACTGTGGAGGTCCAATCTCGTCTTGAATATATCAACAGAAGGTGCTGATATTACGTGTTCTGGCAGAGAATTCCAGTAATTCACTACTCGGTGCGAGAAACGAAACTCCAGACGTAGACGATTTGATCTCGGTTTTTGGACTTTCTTTGAATGTCCTCTCAAATGACCAGCCCTAGACGGGAGGAAAAGATAGGACATGTTAGTACCAAGGTCATCGTTCAGGATACGATATTCCAATATTAGATCACCCCGTATTCGCCGGTAAGATAACGGAAATAGGTTGAGGTGTCTCAGTCTGTCATCATAAGATAGGCTAGATAGGCCTTTTACCATTTTTGTCCCGCGGCGTTAGACTCATTCCAACATATCCGCCTCATATTTGAAACGAGGACTCGCTGCTTGAATCCCATATTCCAAATGTGGCCGTACGAAAGTTGGGTATAATAATCTAAACATTTCCCCATCCATATACCGGAAAGATCTACGAATAGACCATAATACCCTATAGCCTTTTGCAGCAGCAGCCTTACAGTGACTGGTTGTTTTGAGATAAATACTTAGTATGACTCCTAAATCTTTATGGTTTCTTACTTTGGGCAACACTAGTCCACATATTGTGTAGTGATACGAATCATCGTAGTTATTTAATTGCATAACTACACTTTTATTAGGGTTTACTTCTAGTGACCACCCATTCATCCATGCCACTAATGAGTTAAGATCTTCCTGCAAAACTATTCTGTCTAACATGCTATATATGGGTCTCCAAATTTTAATGTCATCGGCGAATAGTAGGACGGATGACTTAGCTATAGCTGGTAATTCATTTATATGAAGTAAAACGAGAAGAGGAACTAAAATTGTGCCTTGGGGGACTCCACTTTTTACTAGTTCCCACGATGAGAGAGCCCCATTTACGCTTATCCTTTGTCTCCTTCCATGAAGAAAGTCACTTATCCAGTCTATGACTGCATAATGAATTCCAAAACTTTTCAGTTTTAATTTAAGACCAGAATGGGAAACCTTATCAAAGGCTTTACTTAGATCTATGAAAATGACATCTGCAGGAATATTGCGGTCTTTTGCCTCAGCCCAATCTTCCCTTGCAATCAAAAGATTTATCAAACATGATAGGCCTTTTCAAAAACCATTTTGTTCCTTGAAAAAAATCATGTCTTTCCACGTAGTTTATAACAGCCATCCTAATAATTTTTTCCATTAGTTTTACAACTGCACTAGTTAAGCTGACTGGTCGATAGTTACTAACTAAATCCCTACTCCCAACCTTATACACCGGACTGATTATTGCGTCTTTCCAGTCTCTGGGCAATCTGGACTGCCGCAGGAACATATCAAACAGTATCGCTAAGGGTCCAGCAATAACATAACTTCACCAATAACTTCACCACTCGGTGAGAGAAACGAAACTCTGGACGTAGACGATTTGATCTCTCAACCAAAAGGATATGCTAGCACTTCAGGCTGATCTGATTCGACTTCAAAGTTGGGCAGACAACAATGAACTTACCTTCATCACTTCAAAGTGCAAAATAGTCCATCTGCGACATGTTGAAGACTATAGTAATAACTTAGGAAACTCCCCTCTACAAGTTTCCCAAGTCGAAAAGGAGTGTTGGTACCCTATGATCTGAAATCGTATGCGAACTGTGACAAAAACGCTTTTCAAGCAAACCTTGCACTGGTAACATTGAAGCTCACTTTTGGTCAGTTTGACGGTAGAACCTTCCACATAATCTTCAACAGTTTTATTCGTCCCCATTTAGAATACGGAAACATAGTATTTCCTCCCTCCCTCCAAAAGGATAAGGACACTCTGGAACGTATACAACGTCGAGCCACGAAATCAGTTCGGGGACTCAAATTCAAACCTTATGGAGAGCGCCTCCAATCACTTAACCTTTACCCGTTAGATTACAGGCGTCTTAGAGGTGATCTTATGACTTACAGTATCCTTAACACTTCTGGTCATCCCCTTAAACATTTTCTTAAGCCTAGTCATAACACTAACGTAAGAGGTAACACCAAGAAACTGGAGATCCAACATAGCAGAACAGACTGTAGACACAACTTCTACTCCGTAAGAGTTATAGTGACCTGCTTTTCCCGACGAGAACACGATTGGAATAATGGAAACAATTATTATTATAACCAGTCATACCAGTAATTGTTTATCGTACTCGTTGTTGTTTAACTGTTTCAAAGTCACTTCTCGTTCCGCTATTAGCCTTGTTTGGTTCGAACGTTCTTACGCTCTGCCCTTATTGCCTGTACTCGTTGGCACATCTCAGTATTCTTTCGATACCACGAGATCGCCAATAAATATACTATATCTGGACCAGCCACAATCTTCTGGTTTGTGAGTTATCAAAGGGACCAGGTCGTTTTTGGGCGCGTAATTTTATTGTAGTGGTGATCATAGTCAAACGCGACTCGACGCCATCAACAGAGTTGTCAAATGCTGCAATTCTCTGCCGACTGAGCTAGTCCAAGTGACTTCCCAGGAGTCCTTTAGGAGGAAACTTGACTTATTCTTAAGGATAACTTCCGCCTCATATTTGAAACAAGAACTCGTTGTTTGAATCCCATCTTCCAAATGTGGTCGCAAGGAAGTCGGGTATAATAATCCAAACATTTATTCATCCAAATGCTGGAGAAACCTACGAACCATAATACCATTTAGCCTTTTACAGCATTAGCATTATAGTATTTGGTAGTTTTGAGGTCAATACTTAGTATGACTCCTAAATCTCTATAGTTTCTTACTTTGAGCAACACGAATCCACACATTGTGTAGTGATACGGTTCATCACAATTATTTAGTTGCATCACCATACTCTGTTTCGGCACACTTCCGGTGACCACACGTGTTGAGATCATCCTGTAATACTATTCTATCTGACATACTGTATATGGGTCTCCAGATCTTTCTGTCATCGGCGAAGAATAGAACGGGTGATTTAGCTACCGTAGGCAATTCGTTTACATAAAGTAAAAAGTGAAGAGAATCGAGGATTGTGCCCTGGGGAACCCACTTTATACACATTCACATGCTGGAAGATCTCCATTTACCCCTACCCGATGTCTCTTACCGCTAAGGAAGTCACTTATACTGTTTATAACTTTGTAATGGGTTCCAAAACTTTCCAGTTTCATTTTAAGATCAGAATGTAAGACCTTATCAAAGGCTTTACTTGGATCTATGAAAATCACATCTGCGGGAACATTTCGATCTTTTGCCTCAGCCTAATCTTCTTTTGCAATAAGAGAGTTGTCAAACATGATAAGCCTGTCCGAGAACCATGTTGTGTCCTGGATAAAAGATTACGCCCCTCCACATAGTTTATAGCAGACATCATTTTTGCAACTGCATTAGTTAAGCTAACGGGTCGATAGTTTCTAACTAAATCTCTACTCCCAGCCTTATACATCAGACTAATTATTGCGTCTTTACAGTCGCTTTGCAGTTTATACTGCCACAGGGACATATCAAACAGAAATGGTAAAGGTTCAGCTATTACATATGATAGGGCTTCCATAATCCCAGGATGAATATCGTCAGGAGCACTGGACTTATCAGGTTTGAGATACTGTAGTAGTCTTAAGACAGTACCTTTCTCAATAACTAAAGAGCCAATCAACACGCGCTACAATCACAGTGAAACGTAAGTCGTTCCTCATCACTGATATAAAATACTTAACTGAAACATCCCGATAAATCTCCAGCCTTTTCTTCATCATTTCTCGCCGATAATAACGGATTTTCTTGCACCAAAAATGGTGGAATTCCATTACTTCTCTGAGTTCGCCTTTTTATATACGAGAATAACCGTTTCTAACTACATTCCAAACATCTAGCCAGTTGTCTTTCACATGACCGTGTAGTCTTACTTATAAACGCTTTACAAGCATTCTTAATTTCATAACAACCGGATCTGTACTGTTCTAAGAGCTTTAATCACGTGCTGAGGTAGTAAATTCCATTTGCTGATGACTCGATGGGAAAGTTGACAACCAAATGACAAGTAATTTGTTCTTGGACTGTAAATTTTTCCAGTCTCCTCACACATTCCCTGTTTAGGAAGACCAGAAAAGTGAGGTCATATCAAATGCAAATTTATCACCAGGTAATTTAAAAACAGTGATCAATTCATATTTCATTCTTCTCCGCAACGATAGCGATAGGTCTGGTTTAGCCAGTCGAATATCAAACGGCACCCTTGCCATTCTGGGACTCAGTTTGGTCGCGCTTCTTTGAACCATAGGGTTCCGAACCTTTTGTTGGCTATACCATGGCAGTGTGTATCTAACGATGACCTCTAGGTCAGTGTGTCTGTACAACTTGTAGCTCAGTGTTATTCATTGTATAGATCTCTGTAGCCCGGTGGCCAATATGCATCATAATACATTCTAGACCATTCAGGTCATTTTGCAACTCCAAAATATTACTTCTATTTTCTGTTACTTTACATATCTTAGCATCGTCAGCATATAAAAAAAGCCGATAATGATATGGGACCTGAAAGGTCATTTACATACAGGTGACACAACACTGATCACATAACTGTATCCTGAGACACTCCGATAAGCATAGATTGCTAGCTAGACAAGTTCCAGTTCACCTGTACTCTTAGTTGATGCCCAATTAGGATATTCTTTATCATAATAAATAAAATGTCCCCAATCCCGATGTTACCTAACTTACGTAGCAGCCGTTTGTGAGGAAATTTGTCA